TCTTGTCTGTGTTGAGGCTGAGATTATTGTCCTCGCACCATGACACATGTTGTAAATATAAACAGAAACAGTCAGCAAGAAAATATTTTAGGACGTGTGCCCATATTTACCCCATTCTAACGTGGACCACTGGGTATGGACAGGCACCGGGCTTAGTTTGGAGAAGTGAAAGTGAGTTGTTGAGCAGACAGCGTCAACAGTACACAATTTGCCTGTAAAACTTCATATGTAAAGCTTGTCCTGAGGGTGATCCTAGAAGAAAAGTCAAGTGGTCATTATAAATGTTAGGGTTCATCCTCTGGGGACCATGAATATCCACTGCAGCTTCAAGGCATTTTGTTCAAAGGGAAATTTTGACATTAATGTGGTGGTCAAGAAAAGGTCAAAGGGAGAGAGAGCGAAATCATTTCAGGGTCATACTGTATGTAGTTCTGGTGTTTGTTTGTTTTAGGTTTTTTATGTGTTTTCCTGTTTCTGTTTCAGGTAGTGCTTAAAACAGCAAGTATAGAAAACTGATAGCTAAGTGACATTGAAGCGGCAGAAACCATTTTTTTCTGTTAGGGAACAGTTGTGTCCCTAATTTCACCACCTCTTGTAATGACAAGCCTGGCTACACTTCTTGGCAGGCCTGGGTATCAGTCCTCAAAACGTTCTGGGTACTGACCAATCCTTCCACTAATTCCTCATTCATGTATTTCATTCTTGTTTGAAAAACGAGTTGTCACGCCGTAGACTCAGTAGCTAGCTGGCACACTGTATGTCTCCCATGCAGCCTGTTACACTGTATCCACAGTGATTATTCAAGCAAATGATAAAGTTCAGTGAGTCATTTCTCCCTCATCTTCTCACACAGTCACCAAACGGAGGAAAATGTCTTCATAATAGCACTGACACACTAGCTGAACTTGGGTTTATTTTGTTACATAGTAAAAAGTGTTGGTAGAAAATATTATAATTCTCAGTGTAAGCTATCGGAGTATTGGCGTCACTATCAGAGCTGGAATTCAGGTACCGTGCTGGTGTTGAAGACAGCATTGAAAACTTTTGAATGTTACCCATCCCTGACTAACAGAATGCGAATCGAAGTCTCAGCACAAATGGGCGAAAAACAAGTGACTTACTGTAACTTCTTAATTGTGACCATGTTGTGCCTAAAGAACATGGAATATTTTGAAACTAAGTTATCGGGAATCTTGTTACAGCCTTGTACATTTGATTTGCAGTCTGGTGTGAAACATGATTCCCAAAGAGAATCTGTGTTCTCCTCATTCCCTCTTAACAGGGTTAAAGTGCCACCCGCTGCCTCGTTTTTCCAGCATGGCTGTGATCTGTGCCATTCAGCACCTCACTGGGTCACAGCCACCAGTCTGGCAGCTGCAGCTGCTCTCTATACCGGCTCGCTGACCAGTGTTAGGATGATAAGACCAGTTAAAGCTGACACCAGTTCTCTTAAATAGAGACTGGACATGGCAAAGACATTGCTTCAGTATCTTTGCTCTAACATTAGTTGATTCCAGGAGCTGTTCAGCAGAGCTACCCAATGACAGGCTAAGGAGGTTAGGCTCTAACTAACATCCATCTACTCTAATTTCCTTATGGCTTTGAACTGAATTCTTGTGCACACTTTATCATCCTCCACATTATATCATTCTCATAATGCAATGAAACAGGCAGATTAATGCACCATGGAGAGTCATAAAGTCAAGCTTAGATTTACAGACAATCAGCCATTCTATAAATTCTCTAAATTCTTCTTCATGCTGTCTCATTTAAAATATGTCATGATGACTGCCTTGCCATAAAAATATGAATAACTTCAAATGCTTTTCATTTCCTTTGTCCAAAATGATGTGGCTTTGGATATGAACAGAACTGAGGTAATAGTGGAGATGCATGCTCTGTCACAGTTCAACCAAATGTGACCCTTGTGCACATCTTTGCAGCCTGTAAAACCATTAAAAGGCTTCCCTGATTTACTTGAGTCACCCTAAGGTTGGGCAATGTGAAGGTATGTACTGTGAGGTGGACAGAAAACTGTCAGCTGTAGAACGTTTTTCAATACTAGTTATGAGCAGGTGTGGATCGGGAGTAGGACAGGTCGTCCCCTAACCGGAAGGGCAGAGGTTCGCTCCCCAGCGTCTCCAGTCCACGTGCTGACGCATCCTTGGACAAGACACTGACCCCCGAGTTGCTCCCCGTGTGAATGGTTGAATGGGTGAATGGGTAAATACAGTGTAAAGCACAGAATGTGTATGTTTATATGCCAAGATAGCTATCCTTTTAACATCTCTTGGTCTAGTATGATCAGTAATATATGGCTCATATTAGCTAACACTGGTTTAAATATTGGTGCAACATTAAGATAGCCACTTATGTCCACAGCAGCTGCTGTACAGCAAAATGCTATAATCAATATTTTACATTAACAATGGATGAAATAATGACAATAGTGATGTGTATTGTGAAAGGATTGATTGTAGTGACAAATAGAGAATCATGACCGACTCAACAATCCACCTCAGCCTTGCAGCATTTTTCTATCAGTGTTTGTTTTTTTGGTTACTGTTACTCTTTGGTCTCACCACTCTCACCATGTTGTTTTAAGGACAATTCAACAGGTGGTGAGAAATGGGAATCCCAGTGAATGCAAATGTTGATTCATGTCTGCTGGCTGCTGGCACATTAGCCATATGCACTCGGTCATATGCCCAGCATGTGGGATTTTTATTTATTGTGCTCTGCCTCCAAGTGGACAAAAGAAATATCAGTGCAGCTTTCAGGAGTGAGATGTCGGCCTATCTAATATTTCAGTTGAGATACCAACAATATTGTTATGCGTACTAATAGTATAGAGAAGATGATGCCCGGTGGCTGTAGTGACCTGTTGACCTCATCTCTAGTGCCATCATCAAGCCTTTACTGAGCACATAGTGCATGCTCCCAAGAGGATGAAGATGCTCCTTGGGCCAAACTGTCCATTTGAACAAAGCACTAAGAGCTAATTTCTGGGTTGCCATGATGTTTGCTGTGTATATTCACACTGAGGTATTAAAAACTGTTTTCTGCTGAAACACATCAGAGTGTAAATCAGAATGAGAGTTGCTGGGATATGGAATGAGGATCCAGAGGTTGCATTTTAGAGGCAGAAGAATGAAACCACAGTGCAGAGGAGATGTAGGATTAGAGGTGTAGCTTTTGTTATGTAGAGGCGGCATCATAAACTATTAGCATCAGTCATGTTAGGATTACAGCCCGTTAATAATGAGAGCACACAGGCTAGCAAGGGTTCTGTTTCATGGCTGCCGGGCTGCCAGAATTAGCATTCCGCCGCTAACCCGTCTCAGCTGAGGTGTAAGAACAGAAGAGGAGTGACTCAGACCTGCCCATCAATCACCTCGTCTCCTGCCTGCCTCTTCTTGTCATATCTCTGGAAATTTTTTCATGTAATAGAAAGTGTCTTGTTTATTGTCTGCCTTTGGCGAATCAGCTGCCTTTCCCAAAACAATACCAATGTGGAATGTGGTGAAGGGAACGGTCAGCTCTTGTGCAAGGATTGTTCGTTTCTCATAAGGAGTTGGGAAGGGTGGAATGGGGACTTAATGAGAGGATAAAAGGGGGAGGAAGGGGAGGAAATAAATGAGCCACAGGCTGCTGCCACAAAGCAATCAGATAAGGAAGACTGCACGTGAGCATGGCTGGACTGCTAGTTGTGGTCAGCAGTATTGATTTTAGAGGTCAGAGAGGTCAAAGGTCACTTCTTAATGATGTTGTGCTTATTGTGCTGCTGGGTTCTGCTGAATACTGAAGACTGTCTTCACTTCACTGCTGACTAAGGGAGATCCACAGGGATTGGCAGGATTACCCTCACAGTGTATAGAACACTGTATAGTATGAAGTGCATGTGGTGAAAGCAGTAGCTGTAGTTGATCTCAGTCAGCAACCTTTTACAGTGGCCTTACTCTGCTGTACTGAGCAGTGTATTCTGTAGAATGGCCTCCAGCTGATACTTTCCAAATATGAGGATTTTCTGTTTTATATCATTGTAAGTTAAAGGTCTTTCTGAAGTATTGTTTGCACAAACAAGATATGTGAAGATAACTCCCTGAGTCCTTGGAAAAAATCGATTCACCTGTAACTAGAACTACCACCTCACAGTGTGCCTCTGCCAACCAGCCATTGTTATGCTCATGCACCTATAGCTTATTTGTAAAGTGTAATTAGTAAATACTATTTACAAGAGTCAAAGTATACTTCTCTCCTCACACTACTTTGTACACAGGCTGGATGAAGAGTTTCTATATATGCTTTCATTCTTTTAGTTTCATATTTGATGTACCTGCGTTAACTGATCTCATATAATGCACTGGGATCAATCAGTCTACAGTACACTTACACTGAACCAGAATACTATAGTGTCTGGGAAGACATTGCCCCGAATTCACTGCAGAGTCACATTTCAGTCAGGCTCTGCACATGCACAAGTATTATTCTGGATTTTGACTGAGAGTTTCAGTGTTTGTCTCGAAGGTTTTCCACCCTGACAGCAGTGTGATGACAGCAGTTAGATTTGTGTAGGAAACACAATAGCCTTGTGTTAACATGCTGTAGGAAGCCTTTACGCAACTTGAAATTGATTTGTATCTTTTAAAAACCAGTATTGATCTCTCCCTCGTGCTGTGTTATATCCCAGGTGACATTCCGTACGAGGATCTACCACTGTAACATCAACAGCCAGGGGGTGATCTGTCTGGACATCCTGAAGGACAACTGGAGTCCTGCCCTCACCATCTCCAAGGTCCTGCTGTCTATCTGCTCCCTGCTCACTGACTGCAACCCTGGTGAGAGCTACAGCACACACACATCAACACATTTACTTGCCCTTATCATAACTTGCTCTAATTTTAGCTGTGACAGGTTGACTGACATGTCCGTTCTGCGTGGATAATGTACATAGAGGTCTGTCGCTTTAAGTCTTGTTCTTTGTAGCACAACAGCAGTATCATCAGAGGTTAGACATGACTGTTGCAGTGATGGAGGTATTGAATGTGCAGCCTTGTCAACATGATGTTAACTAAACATACTAACAATAGTGTGGTTTGTTAGTGGCCTGTTTGTCAAAAAATGGCCTGTATATGTTTGAGGTCACTGATGAGTAAAATGTTCCATTCGGTACTAATGTGGCTTGGCTGTGTTTACCTTTTACTTTAATAAAATTAATTTAAAATACATTTTTATGTATAAAAACTATGTTATGCATTAACTAATTCTTTTTAAAATCAAATATCTACATCAATATCAGTCTCAAAAGTCCAGTATCACCTGGGCTATAGCAACATCATTTAATTCTACTATGTTGGAAGTATAATACTGTAGAGATGTTAATTGGAATGATATTGTAGGATTGTAAGGTTTACAGATAAATAGCATGGGTGCCTATTCAGACATGAGACCTACAGTAAATGTAAAATGTGAAACACTTTGGGTATTGAAGTGCAAGTCTGAAGAGGTCTGAGTTAGGGCCTCAGTCTGCTTCAGACAGACTAGGTGTACAATGTGTTGTTGAATAGTCTAAATGAAAAGGTGTCCATGCTTTTCTGTGTTTTTATAGTCTTGTTGCAATATAATCTGCAAATGGGAATAACAGCGTCTTGTAGAAAGCATTCACGGTAGGGATGTAATGATACCAAAAATTATGATATTGTCACAATGAAAAGTCTATGGTATAGTATTTGTCACAATATTAAAGAAAGCCCTTTACTAAACAATAAGTCAGCAATTTGTAGGATTTTCCTTTTAACTTAAAGGGCTCCTGCTTTCCTCCTTTATTAAAATCGTAGTAACCAGCCATGACCTAAGCAAAAACTTGGCAGGATTTGTCATTGGCACTGAATGAATGAACTGTTGTTACACCTGAAAACCAAACAATGCAGCAGTCAGTAGCTGTCGTTTTAAAAAATAAAATAATATAACATTATTGCAGCAGCTGGATCTTATAAAAAAAAAAAAACAGGTCATACTCACAGTGGAGCATCAGTGTTTCAGTAGCCCCTCGGCAGGTTTAACTTTGTTTGTTTGATGGCTGTGCCGACCGATGAGTTTTGTGCTTTACTGAAGGTGCTTTTCAAACATTGTGGTCTACTTTTTCAAGAGAAACAAGTTTAAGGGTGATTACTGAGAGGTTGTTCTGCATCTATGCGCCCGCTTTGTTTGCCCATCTCCATGAAAGTATTGTGCACAGCCATGTCCATGTTCTGTGAGCCGTATCCACTGTCTCAGTCCTACACTGAGCTAAACTGTGTGTGTATATATATTTCCATATTTATAAGTACTTTATTTTTAATTTTGCACATTCCTTTTTTGTTGTTATTGTTCTCTCAGTCTTATTTTGTTTACTTGTTGCCTTACATTGTACATGCACATTGAGCATGCAGTTGAAAATGATGAAAAAGGGAGCTTGAAAATGAAGCGTGGTGTTTTTCATACCTCTGCGCTCCTGGCGAATCACTGCGTAAAGTGAATGTGGTTGGTGGTTAATCTTGCTTCGGAAAATGACAGATATTTTGGGACTAAGCCCCTTCTGTTACACTCATACTGAGGGCTAAACACAATAACAGCTAGCACTCTTCAATAGTCAGTACTACTCTCAGTGTGAATGAAAAGCAGATATTATGACTGTAGCATAATCATGTCATAAAAATGTGAACCTGGGCTCCCCTCATTACAACCCATTCAGTATTTAACCAGGACTAAATACAGTCCTGTAAACAGATGACACCATTCACTGAGAAGATATCAACATTTTTAAAGCTAATTAAATCCATAATGGCACAGTTACCAGCAGAGCAGAAAGCACCGCTGGAGGAACGGGGAATTCAATCGCTTTTTTATGACCAGTTAAACCTCGTTCCACTGGGCCTCAGCTACCAATAGTTAATGTCTGTTGGTGTAAAGTATTAAGTTGAACAGAGGTGGTAAAAGCAGCTGCTATAAAAATCTGTCCAATATCACAGCAGTGAGGTTCAGAGTGAAAGAACTGGGAGAATGTGTCAGAGCAAGAAAGGCAGGAAAAAAGAGCTGGAGAAGGACAGGTGATTTCACATGTGAATGATAGGGAATGAAATGGCATCAGAATAGAGAGAGTGTAGGCGGGGCTGTGTGGGGGGGGGGGGGGGGGTGGGGGTTTTTTCCAGCCAGTGAATGTGTAAATCTGACCCTGAGCGTCTCAGTATGAGACGGAGTACGACAAGCAGACAGTGATCCTGTAAATCATTTATAATATCCTCTGCAGCCCTCCCCACAGATCAGTGGAGTGAGACGGTGAGGAGGAGACATACAGGAAGAGAGATGATTCATTGTGACAAAACTACTACAACTATGAAAATACTCTCAAAATGTGACACTATTTCTGTCAGACTGTGTCTACAGCTGCTTTCAGCTCTCAAGCCCCTTTTGAACCAGGATCATTAATATTTTAAGAAAAAAAATTTATGCAACTTTTCCCATAATTAAAGAAAAAGGTGAAATAAATTACCAACTCATTTAAACCAGCTTACCTCAAAATCTAATTAGGCATGAAGAGTCGATCACACTGTCAAATGTGGAGGACTGTACTATTAGTTATACAGAACTGAGGGCTGTTCGGCCCCATGTAAATTATTCTGGCTTTAAAAGCGTGTGGGGGGAGTTCTGTGAACGTATGAAGCATACGACTTGAATATCAGCTGGAAGAAAAGGAAAAAAAAGACAATATGCTACATGAAGCCTCTATTCTTAACTGAAGAAACTGTGAATGAGTTGCACAGTGAAGGAAACAGAGTAATGACTGCACTAATGACCAGAGTCTACAGCCCTACCAAGACACAGCTATGTTAATGTTAGCATGCTAACATAATGATTACCATGGTCCCCATCTTACAGTGTACTGTACACAGGCAGCCAAAGACGTGGTGGGAATGAAAGACAATGAAATAAAACAAACTACTTCTTCACAGCCTGTATCCTCCTCCTCTTGTACAGTGAGGAACAGAAGTATTTGAACACCCTGCGATTTTGCAAGTTCTCCCACTTAGAAATCATGGAGGGGTCTGAAATTCACATTGTAGGTGCATTCCCACTCTGAGAGACAGAATTAAAAAAAAAAAAAAGAAATCACATTGAAAGATTTTTAAAGAATTTATTTGTCTAGCACTGCTGAACATAAGTATGTGAACACCTGAGAAACAGCAAGAATTCTGGCTCTCAAAGACCTGTTACTGTGCCTTGAGGCTAAAGACGACTGTCAGTCTCCCTCGGACTGGGGCGCCATGCAAGATCTCACCTCGTGGGGTATCACTGATGATAAGAAAGGTGAGGAATCAGCCCAGAACTACAAGGGAGGAGCTGGTCAATGACATGAAGAGAG